ATATACAGTACAAATAAACTGAATTGAATTGGGTTCTACGCCTCATGTAATTTTCTATGCCTCCTGTAGTCCCTGAAACAGCTGCACCTCCTGCAGTCTCTGAGGTTGCTACACCCACTGCAGATCAGCTGGTTCCATTACCAGCTGCAACCTACCTGGTCTCTATGATCAATGACTTTTCCTGATAGGCTACTGTATTTTTATTTTTAATCAGCTGTGTTGCAGGCACTGTTCAGAAAAAAAGCATTTACTGTACATATTTGTGTATGGTACTGATATGTATTTAATTAAAGTTTAAAAAAATCTTTTTGTGTAAATATCTCATTACAACATGGGACACCCCTGACTTATACACAAGTGTGGCCTATATATGTACAATTGTTTTTTTCTTTTTTAAATGTATTAGGCATGGCTTATATTCAGGTGCGCTCTGTAGTTCAGAAATTACGGTATTCTAAGGTCTAAAAATAAATATTTTGTTGTCTCATAAAAAACATTGTTTCAGCAGTAATACTGCATGGTTAGACTGCATTATATTCAATGTGTAAAAATGTTGTCAAATATTGCAACCAGTTCACTATAGCTGAAAGCATTAACCGGTTATTTTTCTTCTGCTTCTTCTCAGTTTTGTTGAAGTAGTCCTGATGCATGCTCCATAATAATCCAGATAGATCAATTTAACATACATTACAGCAAAGACTGGTTCATCCCAAAGATCCAGTCCCCCGGTACAAACAGAGTAATGTTGTGTATGTTGTTCAGTGTCAGGAGGGCTGTGATCAGTCTTACATCTTACATCGGGGAAACTAAACAGCCACTGGCCAAAAGGATGAACCAGCACAGAAGATCAACATCATCAGGCCAGGACTCTGTAGTTTACACTCACCTGTAGGCCAGCAGTCACTCTTTCAGGGATGAAGATGTTCACATCCTTGATTGAGAGGAACAGTGGTTTGAAAGAGTAGTCTTTACTGAGTCAAGTTTATTGAGTTTATTAAGTTTATTGAGTCTTTCTAGAAGCCATCTTTGTGACAAGAACCTGCCAGTTGTTAAACAGGGGCAGCGGTGTCCAACACCGTCCAACACCCTCTTACAATGTTGTTATTGCTAGTATCACTCAGCTCCCTGTGAATAGTAAACAACCATCAGGGTGTTAATGCCCCTTTCCACTGTACCTTATCAGCATGACTCGACTCAGTTCAGGACGGTTTTGAGACCTTTTCAACTATCACTTTTTCATGGAACCGGCACCCTTTTTTGGTCCCTTCTTCTCAAGGGGACCAAGTAAGCTGAGCCGGCACCAAAATGTGACATCAGAACACTGTCAGCCACTGATTGGTCTGGGGGCGGAGTCACAAGAGGGGTTTGAGAATTTTCACAACATTCGATCCACCATTTGCAATTACCGGTGTTCGATCTTGAGGAGCAATTGGACCTGTTTTTAAGATTTTAAAAACAATAATGACAACACCGTGATCAAATGCTGAAGTACAGGCGTTTTTTGTGCTTGGTGGCCAATGACAAAATTCAGAGTGAGCTTGATGGAGCTCCACTAGTCACCACGGAAGATCCTCCTTCCTGCTGACTCGGGGGTTGGACTCTGGGCCTTGCGTGCTCTGCAGGCTGCGAGCTCCACTGGTCACCACGGAGGATCATACGAGCTGGTGACTGGCAGAAGGCCGTTGCTTGGACCTTGGCCTTGGGTGATCATGAAGGCCCAACCCCGATCCCGGCAGTCGGGCAGACCAGGACGGGTCTGGGACGGAGGGTGGAAATTATTTTAAAAACCATTTTATGTATTAAAAAAAATTGTGTTTTTTTAATCAGTGAAGATAAAAAATAATAATAATAAACTGTGCTGACTTTATCATGCAATCCTGTTTTCACTTTCACTTTCATTATTTTTACGCTGGATGTCCTTCCTGACACAACCACAGACCACTGAGCTACCACAGCCCTCTGTGTGGCGCAGAGAGCTGCTATCTAGGACACCCAGAGGAGCAGATGGTGGGGGCTAAGGGCCTTGTTCAAGGGCCCAGAGTGGAACGAATGAGGGTGGGGGCAGGTGTGGGTGCTTCACTTACCCCACCCACATTTTTGATGTTGTCGTACCGGGGCTTGAACCGGCGATCTTCCGATCACAGACCCACCTTCTCTAACCTCTGTGTATATATATATGTGTGTATATATATATATATATAATTTAATTAGATCATTTTAATAATCTGTATTCTTTTTAATTTACCAGAAACTTCAAAATAAATTCTCACCCTGTACTGAAACCTGTTTAAAGGTCTTGCCGCCACCAGCTGGTAAGGCACATGATGTCAATTTGAACCCCACCCACTGGGACTGGTACTGAAAGCATAATGAAAGGAGCTATGGAAACGCACTGTGTACCGTACCGAGCCAAGTCGAACCGTGCTGTGTCGGTACTAAAAGGTAGTGATGAGTAAATGAAGCTTTTATGAAGCATTGAACCAGTTGGGGGCAGCACGGTGGCACAACTGGTAGAGCTGCTGCCTCTCAGCGAGCAGGTCCCTGGTTCAAACCCCGATCCAGGGGCCTTTCTGGGTGGAGTTTGCATGTTCTGTCCATGCATGCGTGGGTTTTCTCCGGGCGCTCCGGTTTCCTCCCACAGACCAAAAACATGCATGTTAGACTGATTGGTAACTCTAAATTGTCCCTAGGTGTGAGTGAGAGAGTGAATGGTTGACCCGTCCAGGGTGTACCTCGCACAGTGATTGGTGGACATGGGCACCAGCGACCCCCGTGACCCAAAATGGAATAAGTGGGTAAAGATAATGGATGGATGGATGAAATGTGCATTGAAGGGATTTAATAAAAATGTTGCAATGGTATTGTGCTTGTGTAACTGTGGCAGAGTCCGAGTCTTTATCATTCTTAAAATAACGATGAAATAACATCTCCATGTTTGGCACTGAAGTGTCTAATCAGAGGAGGTATCATGATGCTTCAGTTCAGTTGAACACACCAAACACTGCACCTGCACAAATACACTAATGTAAATAAAATAATATTAATTTGAGCCCATACTGATATATGATTAAAATCACATACATCATTTTACTGTAATTATATTAAATACATGGGTTAAATGGATTAGATAATATCTTCCCTGCTGAACATTACTATAACTTTTTTGACATTTAAATACCAAAACCACCTCATCATGAGCAGAATGAAGTGTTCCCACATGTTAGAACAACCTCTTTTCCTGGCTGCCTCTATAATTACTCTATTCAAACTAACAGCAGAAACACACCTACTCTCCAACACATTGCAAACATTTTAGAGCTGTTTCATAGTGTTGAGCTCTCAATTCAAAACTGTCTCAACCTGTCACCTGTCAGAATCGAGACGAGGCGGTGCCAGGGAATCAGCTGTTTGGACCGTGAACCAATGAAGCGATTCATTCTGACAACGAAACAGTTTGTGTTTCGGACGTCACGTGACTTTTTCTGCACCAAAACAGGCTCCGAAGCAGTGGTCCGATGTAATTTTACTGCAGGGTTCGAAGCACGTTTTGAAGCTTTTGTTTCATACTACCATCACTACTCTGGAAACCTCCTTGTGGCCTCCTCAGCTGTCTTCCTCGTTCTCCTCTGTGAATCCCTGAAACTCTTCACGTGGCCTCCTCAGCTGTCTAACGCACCTTCCAACCACATGCACACAGACTGCAATCCACTCTGGACGACTCCTTGTTTGCACAAGATTATTGGAACCAGTCCTCCTCAAGCAACCAATATTTGACCTGTAAGAACCAGAGACAATCTGATTACCGTACTTTTCTCTGTATAAGTCACACTCTTTTGCATAAATTAGCATGCCCTGTGACTTATACAGCGAAGCAACTTATTTATCTCTTCCCCCCACACCACCATATTTATAATTCAATTTTTGGCTGAGATCTGACGATTTCATTCATTCTGACATGGAAAATATTGAACACTATAATTTTCAGCCACTAGAGGGCCATTGACCTATATGGAAAGCCAAGTGTATCATTAATAGGTAAAAGTGGCTATTAATGAGACATTTGGCTTGCCATACCAATCCACCGTCGTCTCGCTCCAGAACTCCTGGAGCAAACATCAAATCAGCTGCATTTCACTGCGACGCTCAGGTGAAATCCAGCTGATTTGACCATTTAAGTTAATTTATTAAGGAAAAGTTCAACTGAGACACACCTTTGCTATGAAGTCAAGCAAACAAATACTAGTTTTTAAGTGTTTATCTTGTTAAATTCTTGTTAAAGTCCTCCCGTGCATGCTCCCGCGGCCATCATTTGGCAGCCAACCGATTTTTGGCACAACACTGGCCCACGTTTCCAGGTTGTCACCGGTGATGCATAATAGATGTGACTTATACGGTGAAGCAACGTATTTATGTTTTTCCCACTTTATTAGACATATTTGGACTGATGCAACTTATGCGGAGGTGCAACGTGTACGGTGGCAAGTACGGTAAGTGGTTTGGTGAAAAGGTACTGAACAAATATCTTACCTGTTGTAGATAGCTTTTGGAACAACCTCAGTTTGAAGAAATGGTTTATGATCAAATTTATGCGCTAAAACAAATTAAATCTGAACAAAATTCTTAGAATTTCATGGAAATGGGATATTATAAACCTCAACAAGTCTGTCAGTCTCTCATGACATAATTAGCTCCATAGAGATTTGTGATTATTTACAAGCCAAATAAAAAAGGCGAAAACAAAACAAATGGACTTGTATTCTGCAGCTGAAAATGATTCATCTCCCACCGGAGGAGCTTCTTCAATTCAGAATTCAGAAAGCTCCCTGGATGGGAGGCCAAACATCTTCAGCTACAGAACAGAAGCCCAGTTGTTTTTGTTATGATTTTTGTTTGTTAGCTTTTTAAAACCATTTTTTAGATTTGCCATGTCTTGGATGACTGATAATCTACACCAGCATGTTATATAGAAGCATAAATAGACTCTAGCTATACTTCCAGCAGCGCTTGGGGTACTTCATGTAGCATGATCAGATTTTGTGATATGAAACCCAATAAGAAGTTTGAGATTGTTTAAAGAGAGTAAAAAAAACCTTTGTCCCCACTTGCACTAACTGTTAACTCGTCATTCTAGTAGGAATTAAACTGTACTCGACAAACTAAGGACATTCAAAAAGCTATCTACAACAGGTAACATATTAACTGATCATAACATTTCCACAAAACGTCACATCAAAAAGCTCTGAACTGTTGCAATAATCCTGGTTAATTAGGTTATGCTAATTATTGTTCAGTGACCAAAGCATTCATGGTTTGAATTATGCACTTGGTAATTAATATTCTTTATGTGTCTGCATTTCTTTGATAGCGGTAGTAAAATAGCCACCACTGATATTTTTCTGTCACAGCATCTGAAAAGCATTCAAATATGCACTTGTGCCACTTTACCTTGTAGTTGTTTAAATTGATTCCCTCAAAACTGATCCGAGTCTTGTAGCCCACAGGGATCAGGACAGGATCTGGGTTCTCAAACCGGGGACACTCTGATCCCTGAAAACATCAAATCAAATGAGACACTCCCACTTTCAATGATTTACATTTTAAATAGGCAAGCCACATAGCAGAGACTCATCTGCAGCGACAGATAAGTGTATCACTGGAACATCTGCTGACTTGTAAATTGATATCCTCCACCCTCAACATTTGCCATGCAAGATGGTGGCAGCTGATAGAGGGATTTGTGTTTTTATTAATTTTCCGGAAGAATGTGCATTGCTCAGGCACAGCATCACGAGATGCTTTTTTAAAAATTCTGTTCTATTTTTGGCAGAGTTTATCTTACATATACCATCTACAATAAAAGTTTGTGCTTTACAACGACTCACCTTACGGTGTCCGATGATGGTGGAACCCGTGATGCTGTCATCCTTGTCGCTGCAGGTGTGGTCAAGTGTATTCCACTGGCACCCCCACGGACTACTAACACATGACAAGCATCTGGAAACGCACAACAATATAGGCTGCTCTCAACAAATATTAGCCAGCACATAGGATTTTTTTTAACAGTTATTGCACAAACACAAATAAAAGCACATGCAAACAAAATCTAAAACATGCAAACGCTCAGGCAGCGAGCGTCCGGCACAAAAATCCATGTTGCTGACAATAAAATGGATCTCGGCAACTTCACATAAGCAAAGCTCATTCATCACACATGCCTCAGCGTGAAAGAAATGAAGAAAAAAGAGTGAGTGTGTGTGTGTGTGTGTGTGGGGGGGAAGGGGGTGGGGGTGGGGGGTCTGGTGAGATCGACTTTCATTTTTTGATTAATGAAAAGGAACCAGAGGCAATTTCCTCAGTTTGGTAATAAAAGGACAGAAAAATGCAAGAGGGGCATTCAAAACTACCATGCATCACAATTTGCAAACAGAGCCTTGATACCTCATCTGTTCATGTGTGGGGATAAATTTACATCAAGGTTGTCAGCTGATGCTGTGTTCAGTGTCACTGTGTGTTTTTGATGAGTGACAGAGCAGAACAACAGTCACACTCACGGTGTGTTTTCAGATTTCCTCACTGTGGCCGCACAATTATAAAACTTGAAATCCCGCATGGCCAGCTCCACAGTCTCGTTGACAAAAATTCGGATAGAAACAGCCACAAAGTCTAAGGGAAGAGTGAAACGAAGAAGAAAAAAATCAGCAAAGGAAAAGCACTTTTCGACAAGGACGACAGGTATCCATTACGAACATAATCAATAATCCAGGCAAGGTATTTAGCCAAGTTGCTAAACCACTGGAACAAATCTTCTTACCATTGTTTATTGGCTGTCAAATAATCAATATAACAAAAATTACAGGCTTCGCATTCCTTGAATGATTGCGTATTGCCTACCAACTTTTATGTGTGTTAAGGCTAAAATGATCTTATAATGAGAAGCGATGAAGTTACAGCCTCTTCGGTCAAACCTTGTAAATGACATTATGTGTGGTATCAATGTCATTTATTATTGCAAGATATCGTATGATCTGTTGGAGCTCAAAGTATGTGTTGAGGAGGACGTTCAGCTACTACCACATGAAGCCTTAGCTCAGTATCTGTAAAACTGACACAGCTATACCGTATTTTCCACCGTACACACAGCACAGCTCTGTAAGTCGCATCAGTCCTAATCAAGGTGCCAGAGTCTGGAGGAAGACTGGGGAGAAGGAAATGCCAGAAGTCCAGTGTGAAGCACCCACAGTCAGTGATGGTCTGTGGTGCCATGTCAGCTGCTGGTGTTGGTCCACTGTGTTTTATCAAGCGCAGGGTCAATGCAGCTAGCTATCAGGAGATTTTGGAGCACTTCATGCTTCCATCTGCTGAAAAGCTTTATGGAGATGATTTCATTTTTCAGCACGACCTGGCACCTGCTCACAGTGCCAAAACCACTGGTAAATGGTTTACTGACCATGGTATTACTGTGCTCAATTGGCCTTCCAACTCTCCTGACCTGAACCCCATAGAGAACCTGTGGGATATTGTGAAGAGAAAGTTGAGAGACGCAAGAACCAACACTCTGGATGAGCTTAAGGCCGCTATCGAAGCATCCTGGGCCTCCATAACACCTCAGCAGTGCCACAGGTTGATTGTCTCCATGCCACGCCGCATTGAAGCAGTCATTCATGCAAAAGGATTCCCGACCAAGTATTGAGTGCATAACTGAACATGATTATTTGAAGGTTGGTGTTTTTTGTATTAAAAACACTTGTCTTTCATTGGTGGGATGAAATATGCTAATTTTTTGGGACAGGCATTTTGGGTTTTCATGAGCTGTATGCCATAATCATCAGTATTAAAACAATTAAAAACCTGAAATATTTCAGTTGGTGTGCTATGAATCTGAAATATATGAAAGTTTCATTTTTATCATTACATTATGGAAAATAATTACCTTTATCACAATATGCAAATTTTTTGAGAAGGACCTGTACGTCGCATCGCTATATATGTCGCATCGCTGTATACGTCGCATCGCTGTATACGTCGCTTCGCTGTATACGTCGCTTCGCTGTATACGTCGCTTCGCTGTATACGTCGCTTCGCTGTATACGTCGCTTCGCTGTATACGTCGCTTCGCTGTATACGTCGCTTCGCTGTAAACGTCGCTTCGCTGTAAACGTCGCTTCGCTATACACGTCGCTTCGCTATACACGTCGCTTCGCTATACACGTCGCCTCGCTATACACGTCGCCTCGCTATATACGTCGCTTCTCTATATACGTCTCATCGCTATATACGTCTCATCGCTATATACGTCTC